AGCTCAAGATATCGGACTTTATGCATTTTTTCACTAGCCTGGAACCCCTCCAGAATTATTTCTGTCTCCATTTTTGTGCTGGCGCCTTCAAAGTCTTTGAAGCATTGGTGCCGCTTTGGTGTCCGGCGCCTCTTACGAGCAAGTGTACAAATCTGGCAGAACTTGTTCCTGACCGCATAGAAAAGGACCTTTCCAGTCCTGTAGCCCACAATACTCGCCTGAAATGTAAGGACATAACCAGTGATCGTTTTGACTCACACTTCAGTCACTAGCAAGGCTAAAAACATTTTACTTACACATCCAGAAAGAGCATCATACTTGTTCTTGTAACAGCGCTTACACCACATGCCGTCCGCGACTACCCGGATCCAGGGTGTGCCGTCCTCGCACACATCCCCCGCCTCTATGGCCAGACGACGCTCTTCCTCGCCTGCTTCTTGCATTTTCTTCAGCAAGGCCTCCTGCACCTTGCGCCCAAATTTGCGTTCATGCAGAATGTACGTAGGGGCGGACATGCACGGCATGTCTATGGCCGCCGCTATCTCGTCTAAGTTAGCAAAGCCACCTCCACCGTTGACAGCCCCAGCCACCACAGCGGTGTTGATGCTGAGGCTCTTGTCGTCCGAATGGTCCGTGTCCAAGGTCGTCTCCTTGTTGCACATACGACACTTGTACACCAATGTTGACCTGAGGCCCCGTCGAAGCTCTTTCACAAAAGAACTGTCCATGATTGAACATCCAAATCCACCTGGGTGCCGGTCAGACTGGATTTGACGCATAAAGTCGCGTATCTTGACAATTCTGCGGCCAGACAGCTCGGCGGGGGCGGGCGCGTCCTTATTCGGCCTTTGGGGTCCCGGGGGTCGACGCGGCTGGATGGGTGAAGGCTCCCCGTCGAACTCGTACACCGCACCTGGAGCACGCGGGGCCCTCGGGGTGGAGGTGGGGAGAGCGCGAGGAGCGGCACCCGCACCTTCCTCCGCGTCATAGTGGCACCGGGAGGTGCCAGGAGCCGTCGGGGTCGGCGACGGCGGGCGGTGCGCTGTTGGAACAGTGCGGGCCTCGATTTCGCCGGGCTCGGGGGCGGGCGGCGGCGGGGACGCTGGCTCCGCCCGGGGCGGCTCGACGGCGGGCGGCTCGGGCTGCTGGCGGTGCCCATGTCGACGTTCCCTTGGGAGAGCCGTGTGTAATCAAACAAAACTTGTACACTTTGAGAACACTGCGCGCCGAAGCGGCGATGCTTACCTCGCCCTCCGCACCGCGGCCACTCTGCTCTTCGGGCGAACGTTCGGCTTCCGCCCCATGGTGAAAAGATCGCACTAAAATCACTCGCACACGGTCCACACACTCAGCTCTCGATGAGCACGAGCACGGTACACAGCACGTAGAGACGCTCGCACTTCGACTCACCGAGACGAACTGCGGAGCACGACGGGAAGGGCTTCGGCGGGGGCAGGGCGTCGATGACACTCATGTCACAAGAATTTGCTGTGTCTGGTGTCAAGCAGGCGGTACCAAGAGGCGGTAGGAACACGGTCGACATCACTTCCGGTCGTAAACCGTAAACATTTCGCTCCATTTGTTTTCCGACGGTAAAACAGATCGCTATTCGCTTTTAATCATCATCGTCGTAAGATTGTCGGCTTCGTCAGTACACTAGTAGGTGCAACGCGTGGCATTCCCCCTACGTCACACACCCTCCCCCCCCCCATGCTTCGACCGGGCATGGACTCAGGACTCATGAAGCCTGGCCACCTCGGAGACGGGCAGACGGACAGGCAGGCAGCAGCTCTGCTTACAACGCAAAGTCTTCCTGGGCACGGCAGGGGGGTTCGGGAGGAGGGGCGAGGTAGTACGATAGGGGCCGGTACTACCATTTTTCTCGTGCATGCCAAATCAGAGCAGAACTCGCAGTGCAGAGGTCCGGCGTATGCAGGAATTCAGCCAAACCGTTGGAGATATCGATCTCAGATTTTGATACAATGTAGATAAAGGATGTGGCTACAGCGTACCAGAGCGATATTCTGCAAAAAGTGCCCACGAAAAAAACTGTTGTGGCCAAGTCAATGGGTTCATTGTAGGCAATACAGGTAATGTCGGAGGCAAACGAATGCGTTCGACATCGAGATTAGTCCTTCAAGGACCCACCTGCCAAATTTGGATTTTTTCGGTACACAGGTTTTTGAGAAACAATGTGAGAAGTCTTCCCGTGCAAGGCGTTGCGAGCGCCGCGCGGAGCCCGCCAGCGCGCTGGACGGCCGGGACTTTAGCCTCCTCTTAAGGCCCTACGGGCGATTTCTTTAAAAAGAAAAGGAATAAGAATATTTCTTCAAGACGTAACTTTTAGAGAAATAGACATAAATGTATTACAAACCCCAATCTAACTAAACCCAAAACCTAACTCAAGTAGGCAAACCAACACAAAAAGCTAAA